ATTTATGTCATAGGGTGTTCTGCCTATGTTTTCCTCTAAGAGTTTGATAGTGTCTGGGCTTACATTTAGGTCTTTAATCCATTTTGAGTTTATTTTTGTGTATGGTGTTAGGGAGTGTTCTAATTTCATTCTTTTACATGTAGCTGTCCAGTTTTCCCAGCACCACTTACTGAAGAGGCTGTCTTTTCTCCATTGTACATCCTTGCCTCCTTTATCAAAAATAAGGTGACCATATTGTGTGGGTTTATTGGATCTGAAGTTCTTATCTGTCCCTACAATGACTCACTGGCTCATCCTCTGGTTGAGGGACTGTTGGTACCTGCCAGACCCCACACACTTAGGACTCCAGAACCTAGCCTCTCCTCGTCTGGTTGATGAGTATATAGAAAATATCTTTCATGACATCTAAACTTTAGTTCATTGACAAAGGATTCTTCCTTTTAAAACTTATACTTGAAATGTAATTTCATTTCTCTAGGTCTCTCGATTATAAAAATAAGAAACTGTTTGGTTAGGCAAGTTAGTTTAGATCAGAGAGGAAGACCATGTAACTACTCTAACTAAGAACCTGCAGACCCATCCTCACCTTCAATTTCTTCCTCTCCATCCATGTGCAATTAGTTCCTCAAGTCTGAAATGACTCTTAAAATCTCCCCCACCCTCTCATGCTGGCTTAGTTCATAACTTCTTGCCTCCACCACGGCTAAGAGCCTTTTAACTGACTTCTAGCGTAAGACCCTCCTCTCTCCAATCTGCCATCCAAACTTCCCCCATCATAATATGGCCATGCCCTTTTCCTCTTAAATCTCAGCAATGGTTCTCCACTGTCTGAGGCATTAAGTCCACACAGCTTTTAAAATTTGGTTCCAACCTATTTCTACTCTCCTCTCAGTCTCATTCTCCATCAGCCTTCCTTACCAGGCAGTCTGTACTTTAGGAGGAAGGAAGGAAAGCGGGGAGGAAGGGAGGGAGGGAAGGAGGGAATGGAGATTTTCTGCAATCTGAGGAAACCCAGGAAGCAACATAAGTCTCAAACTGTTGCTGAATTAATTTTCTTAAGATTCAATCTGATTATACCATTTCTTGGCTTAAAACCCACAGCATGCTTTCTTGTGCTAAGAAAGATCATGTCCAATTTATTTATATTTTACCGTGCTACTAAAGGCCCTTGGAGACTGGGCACTTAGCCTATCTCAGTTCCCATTAATATATTCACACTCTCTATGTGCACGGGTTACTACTCAAAGTAACCCATTCTTTCCTTGCTCCACATTGTCGCTCAACCTCTTCTTCTCTCTGACCCACATTCCCTTGCCAAATCATACTCATCTTTGAGAACTACTGCAAATGTATCCTTACCCACGAAGACTTCCTGATCTTCAGCTAGAAGTGCATACTCCAGTCTCTGAACTCCATACTGCTAATCCTATAATACCTTGCTTTAGACCAGTGATTCTCAATCCTGGTTGCTCCTTAGAATTGGCTTAAAGGCATTTTAAAAATACTGGTGGGCTTCCCTGGTGGCGCAAGTGGTTGAGAGTCCGCCTGCCGATGCAGGGGACACGGATTTGTGCCCCGGTCCGGGAAGATCCCACGTGCCGCGGAGCGGCTGGGCCTGTGAGCCATGGCCGATGAGCCTGCGCGGAGCCTGTGCTCCGTAGTGGGAGAGGCCACAGCAGTGAGAGGCCCGCGTACCACAAAAAAAAAAAAAAAAAATACTGGTAACCAGACCCTACCACTCAGAAAGTACAACTTAAGTACCGGCATATTTTTAAAACTCCCCAGATGATTGTGATACAAAGCCAGGGTGAGAACCACTATGTAAAAGTCACTGGTGTACTTACTATCTTCTCTAATGGAACGAAAGGGCCTTGACTTATCTTCATAATCAGCATATTACCAAACACACAATAACTGTTCAGTAAATGATGGAAAGGGGGAAAAAAAGAGAAACAGAGAAACAAAGGAAAAAAGATGACTTCACAATACTTAAAAACTCAATAACTAAACTTAAAGGAAGCCTTGTTCTCCTAAATTCTTGGAAGAAATGATGAGGCTGCTATCATTTGTATCACCTGCCTTAAAAAAAAAATTCTCCGCTACAATAAAAAAAGGTAAGGCAAAATCTCATTACTAATGAAGGAGCCACTTTTTCTTGGGGGAAGAGACTATTTTCCATCACTTGGAAATCATACATTTACCCCATGAGGTACTATTCTAGGAAACATGAGACTCTAAAATACCCGTTGGAGAATACATTCTAGTAATGAGATGGGGTGAGTGGGGTCTCTGCCAATCAGAGGTAAGAAGAAAAGAAGGAAGTAGGAAACAAATTCTGAAAAAGAATTCTAAGCAGGTCTCTAGCTACCCATAAAATGGTGGAAGAGAGAAGAGAAGCATTAGATGCAATTTAGAAAAAGAAATCATGCTCACGTTTCTTAATCACAGACTAAGAGGATATAAGGAATGCAATAATAAGCCTGTAGGAATGTCAGAATAACCCTGATTAAAGACAAGACAAAATGTTGTGTGTTTTAAAAGAGTTTTTTAACTAGTGAAGAGTTAGAGGAGTTCTGAGGATTTCTGTAACCCATCTGGAATAAAGCTTCACTGAAATCATGGATTGCTATCCATTTTTCTAAATAACTGCTTTATTCAGATATAATTCACACATCATTAAATTCACCTTTTTAAAGTGTACAATTCAGTGGTTTTTAATATATTCAAAGAGTTTTGCAGCCCTCACCGCTACTTAAGTTCAAAACATTTTCTTCACTCCATAAAGAAACCATATAACCTATCAGCAGTCACTCCCATCTTCCTCAAAGCTGCCGGAGGCAATCACTGTCTATTTTCTGTCTCTATATATTTGCTTATTCTGGACATTTCATGTAAATGGATCATATAATACGTGGCCTTTTATGTTTGGCTTGTGTCACTTAGCATCATGTTTTCAATTTCATTTTTTATAATTGTTAACTGATAGTCCATTGTATGGATACAATACATTATGTAGTCAATTATTTAGTAATAATTTGTTGAGGTCTTGGGGATCTTAAGATAAAAAAGACCTTGTTTTTAAGAAATCCAAGAAGTTTCAAGAAGTGAGAGATAGATAAAGAGAATAACATATCAATGGCCGACTTAAGGAACTGATGGAACATAGACTTCAGAATGGAAAATGAGGCTGGGAAAGACAGGCAGGAGCCAGACCAGGAAAGGCATGAAGGGCCTGGTGCCTTGCCCAGTGATCTAGACTTGATGCTCTATGCAGAAGAGAACCTCACTTCACGAAGAGCCTTCCCACCATTTTCCTTTTTCTCATCTTCCAACACCTACAGATAAAAACCCAAACCATAAATACACACACTCACGCCCATCTCAGCTAAATAAATTACTACTCATTCTTCAAAGCCCCCTCCAAAAAGCATTCTCTGATCATCCTGTCAGTAAACACTCATTTTCTTTACAAGCTCTAACGGATTTTTCATACCTTTTTCATAGTATTTATCATACATTGATAAATGCTAAAACAACTGCAATTACCCCCACTGGAGTATGATCTACTTAAGGGCAAGGACAGTATCAGATATTTCTGAAATCCAAGCAGTGTAACTGTTGAATGAATACATGGAAAAATGTAATAGATTTGGTGGAAAGCAGGTCTCTCGGAGGATGCGAACACAGAAGAGTCAATTTCAGTGAAGAGTTGTGTGAAGGTAAAAATACAGAACGCTGACGGAAGAGGCACAAGCCTGGGAAGAGCACAGATGAGAGGTCACTGGCAGCCGGAAGCGGAGAAACCGATAGAGGTGATAATGGCAACTGAGCACTTGCCATGTGCCAGACAAAATACCTGTACATTTAATTTTCTCAACAACCTATGAGGCAGCTATTATTAGCCTCATTTTACAGGAAAAGAAAGAAGCTTGAAGAAGGAAACAAACAGTGGCAGAAGTAGGATTCTACAACCTATGTTTAATTGCAAAGGCCATGTGCATTCTTATCTGCCACATGCCACCCACCTTTATAACTGTGCTTAGGATTGCACAAGCATATATATACTGTTGCTTTTATTTCTGACATAAAAATACAAAAGTACGTAGCTGACTAATTATATCCTGAAATCCACCAAACTAAGTCATACTGACCATGAATAAATTCCACAGTCAAACTGGTTAAAATGGACATTTGATCATTACTCTTTAAAAAGAAATATCCACAAAAGTTTCCTCATCTTGCAGCCAGCAAATGAGCACTTATGTAAGGTTCCCTTTGGATATGAGGAGATGAGTAAATGTTCCAAAATTTACTAATTTAAACAACTGTCTTTATTCACTCCAAGGCTGACTCAAAATTTGTCCTGAAATTGAGCGAAGCATTTTAAACACAGCATTATAACTAAAGGCAAGGGCAAGAAAATAGTTTAAATTCAACATTATTGCAACAGATAAGAATATTATCTTTCATAATATCTGTAATTAGCAGGAACTATTTAGATGAGGATTTTTCATAACACTCTCACTACAGTTTATCATGAAATTTATCAATGTATACCATGTGTATTCAATGGCAATATAATTCGTAAGTGAAATACTGGTTTAGTGATACTATTGCTATGGGTATTTAACAATTACTAACAGGAAAAAAAAGAAAGCTTAACTCAAAAACTTGCCTTTCTATTTAAAATAGCAAATAAAGCCTTGTGTTACAAAACAAATACATAAGCGCAAGCAAGGTTGGTGTATCATCTACTCAATAAAAAAGTGCCCCCAAATCTATGTCACTTGAAGCAAAAAAGTTGCAGCAGGCAAAAGAGCTCCTCAATTATTTCTTGCTTTTCAGAGCTAATGTAAATGACATCAAATACTTTTGGACAACTTTTACCAATTATAATTTCTATGTTGAAAAGTTTGTTTTTAAAAAACACAAAATGGTGCTAAATCTTTGAAATTACAGTCAACGGAGCTATTTCTGCCTGCCTACACTTGAGAACTCACCACATGTTCAACACTTTCTGGCAGCTAAACACAAAAAAAAAATACAAGGAAAAAGAGAGAGAGAGAAAGAGAGATCATCAGAAACTGCCCACATTGAAATTATCACATTGTTTTTCAAGCTTAATTTTTTTCCAAGCAGAATTATTATAATTTACTTTAACAAAAAAAAGTAACTTAAAACTAATATTAATACATGCAGCATACTACAAAATTCAGTTATTCATTCTTATGTTTACAGAAAAAATGAGCATCTATAGTATAGCAATAACTTTCATGCATCAACATTCCTAAAAATAAAAATATGCTGTTAACTCTAAATAAGAATTTGAGCATAGTTCTTAAATAACTATTTTTAAAAACATTATTAAAACATCTACTGAAATAGCTCTATTTTAAACTTAGTGATTAAAATAATATACCACTTGTTTTGCATGCATCTATTCCTTGAAAAAAATTTCCTTAAATAACTGTAATGACTATAAATCTCAAACATGCACAGTTTAAGAAAAAAAAGTCACTAAATCAGGCAAATAGTCTAGTCTAAATCAGGCAAAACCAATACATACTTGGTTTCATCCATCACTTCTACTTCCGTAGGGGCTGTGATAGGTGCATTTGAACGTCCTGCAGTAGGATCATCTGTGTTTAATTCTCCATTTGTAGAACTTACAACCTGCAAAAAAAAAAAAATACACACACACACACACACACACAAAGTAATAGGTTATACAATGATAAACATAAAGTATTTAAATTAGAAAGTTAATATGAGGAACACAAAACAATTAGTATGCAGTTGTTCATAACTGAATATACTAATAGGTCTACATTTTAATAAAGATAAGGTCACTCATTATTTGCTTTGCAACTTACTTGCTTTTCATCTTGAAATCTTTCCTCTGGTTTTTAAGGCTAACGCAATCAGTTCCCTCTTGTGTGCCAATATCTTTTGGTACCTTGCTACATCATGAATTACTTCCTTTGGAAACTTCAATATTGTTCCTTCCAATGGATCCTTCATTTCAATCTGTAATCATGCTCAGGTCTCACTCTCATGTTGCCCATTCATTCACCCAGTTGTTCAAGCTCCAAATCCAGAAGTTACTGTGATTCCACTCTTTGACTTAAACCATCAGCAGATCCTGTTAAATCCTCCCCTGACACACACCCCAAACCTAATCGGTCCTCCGTACTCTATGACTACCAGATCTGCAGTCCAGACCACCATTATCTCTTGAGTGAAGAAGAGCAAAAACCTATTAACTGGTCTGCTTTTACCTGTGTCCACCTCCCATTAATGGATTGTCTACACAACAACCAAGGTGCTCCTTTTAAGACGTAAATTAGATAACACATAATTCTCTGCTTAAAGCTCTTCTAATGTCAACTTCCTGGTTTCATTTAAAATAAACAACCATACTCTTTACTCCAATTTACAAAGCCCCACAAGATCTGAATCCTGCCTACCTCTCTGATCTCATAGCACTTTCCCTTTGCTCACTGGCCTCCAACCAATGTCAAGGTTATTTCCACCTTAAGGCCTTGGAACTATCTATTCTCACTCCCTGGAATTCTCTTCTTGCTTATTGTCTGTCTTCTTACCTTTCAGATTCTCAGAGAACATCTCTAAAATAGGACTTTTCCAACATACAATCTAGAACTTCCATGCAGACACACTCTTACATGTTATACTTCACTTTTAATTCTTTGTATAGCATTTATCCATGTTGACGTTTTTCTGATTGACTGATTGATGTGTTTCTTGATACCCACCCCCATCTCCATTAAAATTAAGCTCCAGGCTTCCCTGGTGGCGCAGTGGTTGAGAATCTGCCTGCTGGTGCAGGGGACATGGGTTCGAGCCCTGGTCTGGGAGGATCCCACATGCCGCGGAGCAACTAGGCCCGTGAGCCACAACTGCTGAGCCTGCGCGTCTGGAGCCTGTGCTCTGCAACAGGAGAGGCCGCCATAGTGAGAGGCCCGCATACCGCAATGAGGAGCGGCCCCCGCTTGCCACAACTAGAGAAAGCCCTCGCACAGAAACGAAGACCTAACACAGCCAAAAATAAATTAATAAACTCCTACCCCCAACATCTTCTTTAAAAACAAACCAAAAAAAATTAAGCTCCATAACAGCAAGAGCCTTGTGTTGTTCCCCAAGAGATCTCCCCACTCTATCTGGCACAGAATAGGCACTCAATAAATATTTGTTGAAATAAATGGATACATGCATGCATGTATGAAATCTTAAAGCAAGATAAAAACCATAACAAAACTTCCAAATTCTCTTGGTCCTACAAAGTGACCTTACTGTCTTATCTCTTGTTTTCCTCCAAACTTCTTGAAAACTATTGTCTTAATTTACCACTTCCATTTTTATAAAATTCTCCATTTATTCCTTAACTCCTCCCAATCTACACTCTTGTCCCTACATCAGAACTCAAATAAGAGTTTATTTGAAGGTTGCCAATGATTCCTAGAAAATATGTTAATAGTCTTTGTTCAGTCTTCATTTGCCTGTACATCTCCCTATGACTTGGTACCAGCTAATAACTTAGGAGTAAGACGAATCTAGATTCAAAACCTAGTTCTACCACTTACCAGCTATGTGACCCTGGAAAGACATCTTACATTGCTAAACCTCAGTGTTCTCAACTATGAAATTGGAAACAGAAGCATCCATTTAATAAGGTTGATATCAGGATGAAATGAAATTAATATATAAAGCGCAGTGACTGGCATATAGTAAGAGTTCAACAAATGGTGGTCATCATTATTACTGTCAGTCTGACCTAAAGTGTGGCTTCAACTGTCATCTCTATGTAAAGGATTCCCTGAGCCTAACCACTCACCCACATGGCCAGTTAGCTAGACCAAGTTTGGCACCTCACTCAGTATTTCTAAAACCTAATTTATCATACTCCCTTTTAAATCTGTTACTTTCCCTATAGTTCCTATTTCTGTTAAAGCCCTAGCCTCTTCCCAGACCTCCAGGCTCAAAATCTAAGAATCATTTTTAATGTTTTCTCTACCTGATCTCTTTATAATGTAACAAGAGCCTAAGCATCAGAGTTGACAGGTGACTACCAGACTTAAGACTACCATTTACGGAAGCCCATATTTCTAAAACTTAAGTTCTAAGAGGCTATGCAACACGTCAGAAACTGCTCTAGGAACCTGGAATACCATAGTAAACAAGAGAGACAAACATCCCTGCCCTTGTGGACTTAATAGTCTAGTTTGGAGAAATATGCTCTCTCCCCACCAACTCAAGAAGAATAACCAGAAATCAATCAACGTATCTATATTAAGTCATGATTTATATATATCCTATATGGAACAAGTACTTAGAAATGCATTTGTGCCTACAGCTGAAAATATAAAACTGCCTTCATCACCTTTAGAGGCAATCCAATGGGAGGAATACTCCTATGTCTAAGTCGCCCTCTCTGCTTCTGTGGCACCTGCTTCCTCCTTTCTGTCATTCTATTGATCTCTGTGGCTCTGTGTCAATTTTTTCTCTTAAAATTCACCCTCTTTCTGAACACATTAAGAAATACTTATTTGGGGCTTCCCTGGTGGCGCAGTGGTTGAGAGTCCGCCTGCCAATGCAGGGGACACGGGTTCGTGCCCCAGTCCGGGAGGATCCCACATGCCGCGGAGCGGCTGGGCCCGTGAGCCATGGCCGCTGAGCCTGAGCGTCCAGAGCCTGCGCTCCACAACGGGAGAGGCCGCAGCAGTGAGAGGCCCGCATACCACACAAAAAAAAATACTTATTTGTTGTAATTACTGAATATAATTGGGTTCTTATTCTTAATTTTTAAAATGTCAGAGCCTCTGCAATGAACTGGAAAGGAATTAGAAAGCAGAATTCTTATCCTATACTTTTGTATTCTCCACCACCTTTAACTAGCAGAGTGCCTTGCATGTAGTGGATAATCGAAACCAGTTCACTGAACAATTTCCATTGTTCTTTCCTTAACAATAATTATTCAATGGGTTTCTTTTCCCACTTTTGTTCAATGGCCCTAAATAGGTGGAGGGAAGCCCCCTCAACTTATAGGCAGCTCCCCAAAAGTATCTTCCCCTACTTAAGCAGCACAAATGAAAATTTGAAACTCAAGTACTCTAAATTTCCAGCAACAGTAACTATATATGCATTATAATTATAAAATCTGATTTATGTCACTTCACACACAGTCATAAGTGACTTTAACAGTCTTTATTTTAGTGAAATGTTTCAAGCTTCATTCTTCGCTGATCAGAACCAGATCAAAAGGAAGTAACATCTGACTTTATGAATTTTTTTAATGTAATTTTCCCTGGGCTTCCCAGATTCCCTAACCCTCTGAGTAAAGGCCAATATCCCAGCGTCAGAAGAGAATCAATGTGGTGACAGAGTTCTGTGAAGCTGACCCACTTAAAAGTAGTGATGTGAGAATGTAACACAGCATTAAAATTGTTTTCACTTAAGAAAACTAGTGGTCTTTTTGCAAACAGATTTTAGAGGAAGAACCAAAGACATAATATTATAAATAATGTGTCAATATCTTCCTGGAAACCAAAATTTGGCTTATTTTTGTAAGCCAAATTTTGAAGAATGATTCCATTTAGGTGACATTTCTAGAATTATAACTCACACTAGAACATAAGAATCTCTGAAATATTAGTGTTTATCAGGCTCCTTAAGAGAAGTATATCTAAAAATCACAGATGCCTTGAGGTTCGACATTTCAAAAGAAAATTCAGGGTTTTTGTTGCTGCTGTTATTGTTCTTAAAGAAAATTTCTGTTATTCCCACTTGATAAGAAACAGTGCAATTCTCATTTTAAGAGGTTTATAAAAAAGGCAACTAGGCCAAGTTTTACTATCACTGTATTAGAGTTGAAGGGGAGGCGGTGGGGAAACAGCGTGCAGCTAAGCGTGGGAGAAAAACAATGGTCCATTTAATGGCTGCCTGCCCAATCTAATTCCAAAAGAAGTCATTCTCATGGACTTGAGTACAAAGATAACACATGGTATCTTTGTGATCAACCATGTCAAAAGGCCAATTAATACAGTTTCCAAATATAATTAATTCAAATTAGTTACACTACTGTCTTCCTAATTTGGAGTATTGAAGAATGTTACCAAGCGCTCAGTAGAGGCACAATATATTAATTAACCAGATCTTCATCTATCCAATAAATATATTAGAAATATTAAAAATTACCTATTTTACTTACCCACTCAGCTTTTTCTAAAAGTCATCTATAAGAAAGCACACTAGTAAATAAGATATAGTTAGAAGAGTAACTTCCAAAGAGTTTATTGGACCTGTGCTAGGGTTCACGTAACTATATGAAACCAACTTTCTAACATATTCTAAAAGCTATAGAGTTACAATTAATATTCTTGATATTCCAACTGATAATCCAAAGGCCCAGTGACATTCTCAGTGACTTTCAACAAAGAGAAACCAAAACGATTCTCAATCTAATGTTCACTTACAGAAGTATTAAGCAGAGCACTCTATTTGAGTATTTCAGTCTTTTGAGATGTTACTGTAAATGTTACTGGCAAAGTGCTAAATTCCTTAACTTGAGATATCTGGTTTTCTTTAATTAACAATAATCTTTTGATGTTCACACTACCTGCCCTTTGTTGCAAAACTCCTATTTATCCTAGCTCCCC